GACAGTACAACAGAAGGATTTAAGCTATTCAATGATTCAGGATCACAGCTCAAAGTGACAGCCTGCCCTGAGCCTTCCTGGAGCCACAACACTGCACAAACCCTCCCAAAGGGGAGGTCTGTTTTTGAATGGCAGCAAAAGGGTCTAGAATATGTGGAATTTCACATGGAATCTCAGACCTAGAATGTAGGAAGGTTTGACTGGAGAGCTTAGCACTTGAAATAGAGAATGATTATATATCCTCACACGTTCTCTTCCCAACTGGATAGTAAACTCCAAAGTAAATACCAAATCTGACCATTTTTGGATCAGATGCAGCATCAGACTGGGGTACAAGGAGAAGGAAATATGTGAGCAGAGGAGCAACAGCCTGCTGGAGGGACCAACTTCCAGGACTGGAGTTGATTCTCACAGTATTCCCAGGTACCTTTCTACCTTACCAGACTCTGGAGTCTCCAGTGACTATGACTAACCATCACAAGAAGGAACAACTTGAACCCATTCACATAATTCTATATCAGCAAACTAGAGAAACTGTTCACTAAAAAGGTAATGGCCTTGGAAAGTCAGCTGATTGATTCTAGGGCTGGGGCAGGAAATGCACAAAGAGAATCTTATAATACCAAAAAGTAAGGAAATACTGAAAAAACAAAAACAAAAAACCTCACAGTGATAGAGTAGGTTAAAGGCAGCTAGAAGTACAACTATTGGTCAAAGCTGGAACAATGTGAGCAATAAAAGAAAGCAGGATTGTATTATAAATCAAAGTGTAAAATAAGTATCTGTGAATCAATACTGATATATAAATAATTGAAAAAATAAATGAAGGAGAATAGACAGTTCTTGTGTAGAAGAATTTAATAATTCATGTAGTTACTCCGCCCATAAGGAGGAGGGCTTAATTCCCCTCTCCTTAAGCATGGGCTACAAGTACTGATGTCCTTCCAAAAAATACAGCAGGATGCGAAGGGGCTAACTTTACAGTGAATACAGGGAAGAAACCTGACAAACATCACCTCAGCCAAAGTGATCAAGGCTGACCTAGACCATGATAAGTCACATTGACTATGTGCCCTTGATGGGATGGTGATGAAAATGGCACTTTAGGTCTAAAGTCTTTTCCCAAACACTCCTAACCACCCCAGTCCAATCATAAGGAAAACATCAGACAAATCCCAATCATGAGACATTCTACAAGATACCTGACCAGTACTCCTTAACACTACCAAGGTCATAAAAACAAGGAACTTTTGAGAAACTATCAGCTTAGGGAAGCTTAAGGAGATATAACAACTAAATGCAGTGTGGGCTCCTAGAACAGAAAAAGGACAACAGATAAAAACTAAGATCCAGATGAAACATGGACTTTAATGTACAGAGCTAATGCAAGATACTAATAATGGGAAACTGCATGTGGGGTTTGTGAGAAAACTCTGCACTATCTTTCTAACATCTACAACTATTCTGAAAGAAAAAGTTTATTTATTTATTTATTTAAAAGGGATGGTGGTGCACACCTGATTCCAGTTATTAAGGAGCCTGAGGCAGGAGGATCGCAAGTTCCAGGATAGTCTGGGCAACTCTACAAGATCCTACCTCAAAATATTTTTATTTTGGGGGACTCAGTGGTTGTGTGCCCCTAGGTTCAGTTCCCCCTGCTGGGAAACCAAACCAAACAAAAAAAGGGGTGGTGGCTTATCTTGTGACAAAATGATATCCAAGGATAGCAGTTATCAAAAACACATATTCCTAAAGATGAGTTAATTTGACAAAGGGGAGGGGTAAAAGGGATGTGCAGAAAGCAGGGTTGATGGGAACTAGAAGTGAGCAAAGGATTACACCAAACACCACAGGCTTAGGAGTGTGGAGTCCAAAGGCCACACCCATGGAATACTCAAGGGAAGCTGCTCTCACCACCTACTGCTACCACCACTCTTTTCTTTTTGCAATGCTAGGTATAGTATCTAAGGCCTCACACAGACTAGTCAAGCACCCTACCACCAAGCTACACTCCCAGTCCTGCCACCACTTGCTTAAGACCAGCCTGTGGTCTTAAGCTCAGTGTAGACATGCAAAATAGCACCTGTGGACAAGAGTGAAATTCACTTGCACCAAGCTTTGCTAAGTGATGGCCTGGGTCGGTGCTGCCTCACCACACACAACTGCAGAAGTACACTATGTTCTGTGCTGCTACCAGACCCAGAGCCACACCCACCCTCTCCTATTTAAACCCTACACCGGAAATGGAAATTTGGAGAGCTCTACCCTCTGGAAATTTGGTTTGTGACATGCCCAACCCCCATCATCTGTCCTGATAATCCTTTTTTACCTGTTTATTCTCTGAACATCCGTGAGCAACATTCTGGAGAACGGAATAAAGATGAAGTTCAAGCTGAGAATCAGATGAATGTAAATCTGGATCCCAGGTTCACCACATCCAAGTTAAGTGAGATCACGAAGAGTGTGATGAAGGAAGTGGGCAGGCATGTGCCTCAAGGGCAGGTTTGGATGTCTGCCCTTCCTTTTAATGACTCCATAGGGGGTCTACTATGCAGAGTACCATGCTGGATACTGGCCACACCAAGATAAAGTAGATCTGTGCCCTTAAAGGGTTACACACCATAAAAGGAGGTAACAGAAGCAGGAGACAGTAGTAAAAAGAAAGTCCATGGAGGAGAAAAGCCCTTACCTCCTTGGGACTTGGGAGAACTTCACTAAGGAAGTCATAGGCAAGCTGAGCTTTGAGAATAAAATGGAGAGAAGCAGCTTCCAGGCAGATGAGATGGACAAGAGCTTTCCAACCAAAGGAAACAGTATACATTCAGCCCAGAAATTTGGCAAGGAGAGGCTGTGTTGCATAGTGATCTAAGTATACACTCAATTCTAATCCTACCTCTGTTACTTACCCAGTAGTTCTCCACTGTAAAGTGGGGATAAAAAAAACATCCTACTTCCTGGGGTTGTTATGAGGATAAAATGTGTATGCTTAAGGCCCAGAAGAGTGACTGACACACAGTAGCAAAGCTTAGTTTAGCTTTAATTTGTATTATTGTCTCTGCATATAGGAGATGGGACTATTTACTCTGAAAATAAGTTTCTTATACTGCCAGGCTATAAATGTAGAGGACTCCTTCAAAAAATATTCCAATTCTCTTCTGCCAAAGTTCTTGGAAGCATTATCACTTGAATTTGGGGACATCCTACCTCAAGCACTGCTTCTCAAGCAGCTCCAACAGAAGTGCCCTGACTGGAGCCAGGGGAGGAGAAATACAAATCTCAGGAATTTGAGAATCAAACCCAAGCAACCTGCTACTTCCAAAATATTGTCTTCAAGTTTCCTATTTTAGCTTAAATTTATGCAAACTTTGCATTCCAATCTAGAATAGATCCAGGACTGCTTTAATATGAAAATGCTTATAACTTAAGACTGAAGTTTCTAAAAGATGCAAAACCTTATCTAGTCAGTGCCTCTGGGCATTCACAGCGGGTGACCTCAGGAGGTCTGAGAATCCCAGTGAGAAAAGTGCAATGATTGCCTTAGCATTCTCTTCTGGAAAATGGGAACACAACCCACATTAGTTCTATTCAATATCTACATAAGGAGACAATATGTGAAACTATCAAGCAAAGTCCTAACCATAATAGCAGACATTTGGTACTAGTATTAAATCAGAATTCTAGGGATGAGTTACTATGCACCTTCAAAATCCCAGCTACCTGCCAGAGGCAACTGCTATTTTGGGAGCATCTGTTCCACATCTAGCACTGGACTAGCTCATTTACCCTTTGTCTTCTTTTTTTTTTTAATATTTATTTTTTAGCTTTAGGTGGTCACAATATTTTTATTTTACATTTATGTGGTGCTGAGGATCGAACCCAGTGCCTTGTACATGCTAGGCAAGTGCTCTACCACTGAGCCACAACCCCAGCCCTTACCCTTTGTTTCCAATTTTGCAAGATATTTAGTATTCCCATCTTATTGGAAGAAACAGGCTCAATGAGGTCAAGAAACAAGCCTAAGGTCACACAACTGGTAAGCAGGGGAGTCAGGATGAGAATTCAGTTCTGGCCAACTCCTAAGCTCTAGCACCTTTCACACCACCATACCACCTCTGTTGACTAGGAAAAAGTTACAGGAAGGAAGTTTTAAGAAGTATTTGTTTGGTGGGGATGAATTTAAATTTGTGACCTTACTCTATTTCCATGTAAATTCTAGTGAGAGGAGCAAACAGTAGGCAGCACCAAAGGGAAATCAGAGGACCAATCTCAGGCCAGCTCTGCTGGTTCCATAGTCCTCAGCCTTGCCCAGTGGGACCCTGGGGTCCATTCACTTTTACTTTCATTTTCTAGCCATCATGACTTTCACTCACGATCCCAGGAAATTAATAAAAGCATGCAGACATCAGGAAACTCTTGGGCCCTGAAGGGTACTGGCTTGGGACTCCTAACAGTCATGCCCTCCAGAGGCAGAGCAGAAGAGGTTCAAGAAAGAGGACAGGAGGATGGAATAAAGGTAGGGGAGGAAAATGGAAGCAAATGAAGAATGCCAGTGATGAGGAAGGCTAAAGGTAAAGAGTATGCACTTGTGCCCCTGCTTGCTCACCCTGCGTGTTCATTCATTTAACAAGCAGACCAGATGGGAAGAGGGCCTGCTATTAGCAAAGATGGGGTCAGATATGATCCCAAGCCCTGGCCCAACAACCACTTCTAACTATACAGTCTAGGCAAACTACTTAAGTTCCTTGAGCATCATCTCTAAGGTGAGGACACTCACACACACCCCTATCTCGAGGTCACTCAGGAGCAATGTATGTGAAAAGAACTCTGTAATTTCACAGTAATTTATAAATATTCATTGTTACAGTCCCCCTATAAGCAAACACAAAGGCAGAAAAAGGCCAGCTAGATGTGAGAGGCAAGAGGGGAAGAGAGAAGCAGCCTCAGAAAGGAGGGAGGGGCTTCTATCCCACCAGAGCCTGCCTCCTCCTGCAAAACAGTGTCAGATCTATTGAGATTCTACAAATTCTGAATGCCAGAGGCGGCTGCATAACCACCCAGAGCTCTAGTCTCTCTCAAAGGGAGAGTTTCTCCTTCTAAAACCTGTTTCAGAGTCTGAGGACTCTTGAAGAGCTCCATTCCTGATGAGGTAAGTTTAGCAGAGTCTCTCTGCCCCTCTCTCTGAGAGGCACATGCTGACTAGATCAGAGAAACTAGGCTGATGGAGGGAGTCTCTAGTGAGGCCACAAGAATATAGAGATTGTAACCCAACTATTGACCCTAATAAGAAATGGTTTGTCTAGTAAAAAGAAAAATACGTGCATCACAGGTCAAGCTCCAAATATTATAAGAATTAGACATTTGCAACTAGCCAGAAATAGTCAAAACGGTCAAGGAAAAAACTTTAGCTTTTTAAGTAGTATCCAAGGATGGTTAAGGCAGCTACTGACAAGCTACAGCGATTCCTAAGGATTGACTGGCTTTCCTTTCCTTCTTCCACTGTAAATAGCAAGGGTCAGGCATGGCTTCAGAGTAAGGCTACCCCTCATTAAGGTATTCTGGTCTGTACTTTGGTCATGTAAGAAACTTACAGCTTGGTTTGAGACACAGTCATTTCACACACAGGATCATATAGCAATACGATACATAGTTGGGGGAATCAGCAGTTTCTAGCATATATGAGAAGTCCTTTGGCTACAAAAATTGGTGCATTAAGAGTCTAAAGCTGCCACTGTCATCTCAACTTACTCCTCTGTAATAAATCCAAGCCCAAAAGGGATTAGAGAGAGACCTTGGAGTGGCACAGACCTGTTGCACTGAGTAGTCTATGTGTGTTGGGGGGAGGTGAGAATGGCAAAGAGATGGACCCTCAATTCCAGACTCCTCATGTTTAGTCTTATTCTCTTGCCTATAGATCAGCAGACAGCAGTCCCAGGAGGAGCAGTCCCTCTGAGGCAGCTTGGAAACCACTCACATGCTCTGGGAAGACAGGGCTGAGCCTGGAGCAAGGAGGTAGGAGGAAGGGAGAGAGAAGATAATGAATGGGCAGATCCACCCTGATCTGTGATCTGTACTAGGATTGAGCAAAGCTCAGCTAAATTCTTCAGAGGCAGGAAAAGAGAGAAATACCCAGAGAACAACATAACCAGAGGACAGGGCTGGGGTCCCAGGGAGTAAAATCAGAAGACAGTTCATTCCTAATTAGTGACCCAGAATTCAAACTCTGCTAAGGTCCTGGTTGGCTCACTCTGGCTTGAGGAAGAAAGGAGCAGTGGGAACGCAACATACTTCTGTGAGTGTGGTCCGGTCTCACTCACTCAGACCACCCCTCCACACCCCACCCCACCCACCCCCCGGCTGCCTAAAGGAAATCAAGATAAAATTCTTCCAGGGCTGAGACAACTGTTCTTTGGGGGGACACGGGGAAAGAAAACGACGACAGACAGCACTTTCTGCTGCCTCTAAAAGAGAAGGGAGACAGGTTCCTTCATATCTGGCAAGGACCCTCCAGTTTTCGGAGCAGGGGGAGCGGAACTTAAGGTCCCTCTCTCCCATAACTGAACTGGACAGGCCAGAGGAGAACCGCAAAGATTTCCCTAAGGCCCACGCGAAGGACAGGTAAGCGAAGTAAAGAAGGGCTCCCCTTTTGGCCCGACGCCTGGAGAGCCCCTTAAGAAGGGGCTACGGGTCGGGGGAGGGGTCAGTATCCCCTTAAGCTGGGGTTGGGCGGGAGGAAGCGGTGCCCGGGAGAGGCTTCAACGCGGGTGAGACAATAGTTCTGGGACAGGCACACTCACCGCGGCTCCGGGGCGGCGGCGTTACTTGGGGCCGGGGCTCGGACAGACTCCGCTCCTCTCCCCCCCGCCGGCGGTGTCCCAGGCTCCGGCCTCCACTTCCGCCTTTCAGCCGCTCCGGATCCGGATCTCCACCTCCGCCCCGCCCCTCCATGCTCTCAAGTGACTGACAGGGCGGGGAGACCAATGGGAGGCACTCATGGCCGACCCACAGGCGACGCGGGAGGGGGCCGCGGGAGAGGAGGGAGGGCGAGCGCGAGGGGTGGCGGGACTTGTAGTTCGCGGCGCTGGGAGAAGCTAGCTGGTGGCTGCCTGGGTCCTAGGCTTAGGGTGGATTCCGCTGCCGGCGGGGCGGAGTCAGACCAGGCCTGTTAACCGCGTCACCCCCGGTTCCAGGCACCCAGAGGGAAGGCGGATGGTGGAGCACTGGAAGAGTACAGATGGAAAGGAGAAACATGCTATGAATGAAAATGTACAAGAGGTCTCGTGCACCAGCCCTATGCACTCACTAACCCGGAGAAACCCCTGTTCGTACTTTGCAGCCAAGTCAGCTCTAGGAATCCGATTTTGGAACATTCAGTGACTGGAATGGCGATGGAAGTTTATAGGAAAAGTTTTCTGGAAAATACTAGGTGAGATCAAAGAGAGAGCTTCTGCCACCTCGCAGGCATAAAAACCTCCTACTTTGGCCCAGCTTGGCTTCCGATCACAGTAGGATTCCTGCCTCTCCCCACGCCCAATCAGAACCAGCTCTTCTCTCTGATACCAAATACAAAGAAACAGACAACATTTGCCCCGGCATTCTCCATCCATTAATATGGACTAGAACCCATCTTCCCTACCCCATGTGGATCAGGACTATTTCTACTTCTTCTGCTCCCCTCAATACAGATTAGGACCATTTCAGCTTCTGTTCACTCCCTCCCTCCCAACATAGGCCAGTGCCTCCTCTGCTTCTGCATTTCATCAGGGACATTACTCAAAATCTGTTTGGAACCAAAGCCCACCCGAGACACGGTGGCCATTGTGTCTATGACCCTAGCTAAAACAGTCATACTCTGGAGCCTGAGCTGGAGAATGGAACTAGGACAACCCCCCCCACAAGTTTGTGCCCACACCTTGTTCCATCTGAGTGTCTTGGGTTTTGTTTGTTTGTTTTGTTTTTTGATTAATTATTTTTACACAAATGGAGCACAACTTTTCATTTCTCTGGTTGTACATGATGTAGAGTCACACCATTCATGCAATCATACCTGTATATAGGGTAATAATGTCCATCTCATTCCACTATCTCCCCTGCATCTTGTTTTTTTATATCATCCATAACCTGCCCCCCCAACAGTGATCATCAGAGAAGTGAAAGCTGAGAGAAAAGAGAGGGCTTAAGGGGGAAGAGGAGATGAGGCTGAGTGGATTCTTAGCAGGTAGGGGCTCTTCCCCTGCCCTGCAATGGTTCCTTATACAGGAGAGGTAGGTAGTCCTCTGAGCCTACTTTTCCAAGGCTGGCAGTGGGCCTGACCCAGGACTGTCCCTCCCATATACTGTGTGTTTACTGTGACTGAGTGGTGGGAAGGAGAGTGTATAGCAGGCCCCTAGGGACTCATTAAGGTTTCTCCCTCATCCCTGGGGATCCCTGGTGGCGTGAATGTGGTGCCAAGTGGATTGGCTGGCGCCTTTGCCCTTCCTAGAGACAGCAACAGGCCCCCGGGGTATGGTGAGGAGTGACTGCTGGGTTGGTTCCTCCAAAGCCCTGGGGCTCTCGGACCAACCCCCAGAAACAGCCAGAGCCAACAACTACAAAAATAAAAGAGTTTATTTCCTATCCAAAAGTGAGCCCAGGGTGCTGGGTGGGAAAGGAAAGCTGGAGACCAGGGCAGGTTTTTGAGAAGTCCAGGTCCTGAATGAGACCATGTGGATATGGGGAAGAACAGGCTTGGCTGGAGTCTGGGGTTGGGGGCAGGATAGGGAGTGATTCTGGGAATGTTTTGAGTTGCTGGCAGCAGAAGAGACCACCTTGAGTGACAGCCTGTAGAGAGACAGAAACAAATGTTGATAGACCCAATCCCAGGGGGAGAAACAGACATTACTGAGCCCCCCAAACACCCAAAGGGCACAAGACTTGGGAACCTACTCTAAGGTAGGGATTGCAAACTCCAATCACACACAGAGAAGACCAGACAAAGAATCCAAACAAGAGAAGCTAACTAGGTGTCAGGAGATGATCAAGAAATGTGGGAACAGCTATAATCCTAGCTACTTAGGAGGCTGAGGCAGGAGGACTGGCAAATTTGAGGACAGCCTCAGTAACTTAGCCAGGCCCTGTCTCAAAATAAAATAGAAAGTGTGGGGATATAGTTTATGGTAAAGCACCTCTGCATTTAATTCTCAGTATAGGAAAAAAAGAAAAAGAAATGTGGGGCCACAAAGAAATGAGGACTTTAGATCCCATCTAGAGAGAACAGCTGTACCAAACACCAGGTGATTACTGATTATTGATAGATAGATGTTGGCAAAGTGTGGCAAGATGTCCTACATTTTTTTTTTAGAGAAGCTGGAGTACTAGATTTTCATGTGATTCTGTCTTGATTTTTAATGTTGGCAGCTAATTTGTATTTTTGAAAAAACAAAACAAAACAAAACAAAAAAAAACTCTTGAGAGTGGTATCAGTTGGCTTCCTGTGTGTGCTATGGGATGAGGTGAGCCCCTCCAGTCTAGGCTGACAGAAGGAGGTTTAGAGTGTCCTGGGTTGCTTAAATATCAACCAGAATCTGAAACCAAACCCTCTCAAAGTGACACTGCTCTCAGGGTCTCCAGCAAAGGATCCAGGAACTGGGACAGAGACCTCACAGGGTCATTGAGCTGTGTACCAAATGGAGTTCTACTATCTGTCTCTCTTGCTGAGTCCTGGACTCGTCCCAGCCTTTGTTTCCCAGATTGGATCTGGGGCCCCTACCCATCCCCACTGCTCCCCAATCTCTACCTGCCTCCAAGTCCTGGAGAGAAAATAGGACATCTCATCTGCCCAGCCCAAAGGCACCACAGTCCATCTCATGCCTGCTGGATTCCACGGCCTCAGGTGGCTCCCCTCACAGAGAAAGACGAGGGAAGATTTGAAAAAGGGAACAGGGTCGAGGTGACCACGCTTTGTTAAAAAGTCCAGAGAATCCAGAGCCAACCAGACCAGCTGGTGGCTGCTGACCCCGAGGCAGGAGGCCAAGGGGCCCAGCTCCTCCCTGGATAGCAGGCAGCAATGCCCACCCCAGACAGGCCTGGGCCTGGGGCCGGGGTCAGTGGAATGTGTCTGACCTAGACTGGTAGCTTTGCCTCAGAAGGCTTGGGGTAGGGGGTGAAGCTTCTGGCGTTGGGGAGGGTCCCAGAGGGTCAGGCTCTGAAGGATAGGGGGCCAACATGGAAGGTCTCAGGTCCATCTCCTCTGTCCCCACACTGGCCGGGCAGTGGACCTCAGCAAGCGTAGTATCCTGGAGGTTGGGTGGTGGTCCAGACACACAAGGAGAGATGTGTGATGGTCTCTGCTGGGGATAAGGAGGGCACGGGGGCCAAGCTGAGACTGCTGGGTGGCCTGGGGGACCCAGCCTGGCCTGCAGCAGGCCCATCACGTGCCGCAGCTCCTGGCTCAGCTGAGACACTTCCTGGTTGAGGCGGGAGATCTGTTGAAAACACAGCAAGTTGTTTCACAGATGCTACAACAATAACCAGACACACCTCCCCTCCCCCTACAGTTTGCAAAGCTCTTCAATAAAAGATCAGGCCATCCTGGGAAGAAAGCAGGTAAGGGGTAATTTTGGACTAGAGGTAAATAACCCAGGCTCTTTCCAAAAAGGATTTTAGGCAGCAGACACTGCGATATTATCCCCTCTCCCTTGCTTTTACAAGATGTAGAAAAATGTGCTCAAAGAGACCCATGTAGCTGTGAAGCAACAGACACATCAAGTGAACCCATCACACGAGCTCAAGTGTTTACATCAATGCTTTTCAAAGTAATGAGTGCAGAATCAATTGAGAAACTTATCAAAATGCAGATTTCTGGGCCTCGCCCTAGACAGCCCAAATTGGGTACGGCCCTGGAATCTGCATTTTAACAGGTGGTTCTGAGAGATACTCAGGTTTGGGAACCACTTGCCTAGAACCTTACAAAACAGGGGCTGGCCTCACTCAGGGCCCAGGACCCGCCCCAGCCCAGGCTCCACCCTCTGGGGTGCCCGCTGTTTGTCAGAGCCCAGGGAGAAGGAGTCCCAAGGGCTGGGTCTGTTCACTCTGTCGTGACAGCACTGCAGTCTCTTGGGGAGGGGGTAGAGGTAACACCTTGACATAGAGGATCTGGGCTCTTCCCTGTCAGGACTCAGTCATCTAGGCCCAGATCCTCAGGCCTGAAGACCTATCAGCCTCCCTGCTCTCTGGCCCCAATATACACAGCTGCTAGACCTTCATTTCCCAGAGTTGGGTAAGGGAAAAGGACGTGAGTATCAGATATAGTTGGATGGCCCCAGGCAGGAGAGAGTCCCGTGGGGGCCAGGGAGGTTGGAGAAGAGTTCCATTTTCTTTGCAGGCTGGAAACCCTGAGCTGGTTGGAGGGGTCACCAACTGTTACTGAATATCTATGATGAGCCAGGGACTAGACTAGGCACATATGCACTCTCATCCTTATAACTCTGGGAAAAACATGTTATTATTTTTCCCATTTTTTAGGTGAGGAAAAATGAAGTTCAGAGTGGTTATGTGACTTGCCCAAAGTCATCCAGCTAATGTGACTTTCTGAACTCCAGAGCCAGACTTGCTTTCCAATTCAAGGTTGGAGGGGGAAAGCCAGCCCTAACCTACCTCCTGGTTCAGCCTGCAGACCTTTTCCTTCACCTCCTCAGCCTCAGTGGCCAGTTCCCGGCTGGGTCTGGTACCTGCAGAATGAGGTGAGGGAATGCAGGCAAGTTCATGAAGCATGAATATCTGAACAACATACAGCTTGGGTTAGACCCCTCTGTCACCAGGCAGGCAGGGAGCAAGAAAGAGAGAGTTCTGGGGTCAGGGAGCTGACCCTAAATTCCTTAGGCTGGTCGTAAGGCCCTGTAATTTCTCCCACCCTCCCCTGTTCTTCCATGCCTGATCCCACTCCCAGTTCTACACATGGAGCTTCTCTCTGTCATCTGAACAAAATAGTCCTCCGGCTTGCCTGCCTTCATGTCTTTTAACAGTTATGCTGTTCCACCAAAGTCCAACCCACCCTTTAAGAAGCAACTCAAGTGTCCCCTCGTCTCCTATTATACAGTCCTGTTCTTGTCTCAATCACCGAATTTAGCACCTAGTTCTAGAATTGTTTATTTGTGTACACGGGTGTCTCCCCACTAGAAAGGGAGAGTCACAAGAGCAAGGGCCCCGTCTGGTTTATACGTGCGTTCCCAGGTGGCGCCTGACACAAGGTCCGTGCCTACTGCATGTGGAGGGATGGAGGGATGAAAGGATAAATGGATGGGTGAATGTGAGCTGAAGTGACTGCTGCCCCTTACCTGTAGAGGGGGCCTGCGAGCGGGGCCTTGGGGGCTCAGCCCTCCTGCTGAACCGGAATGTAGGGGCCTCAGCTGTGCTGCCAGAGTCCTCAATGCCATCCACTATCCTGAGGATGGGGCAGTACTCATCAGCCCCGTGGGGAAGGCACAAGGGCCAAAACAAAGCAGACGGAGAGCGAACGGGGCAGCAGAACCGGGGAGCTGGGAAGAGCAGTGGTCAAAGCAGGATGGGGCTGTAAGCTGTAGTTGAAAGGGTAGAGTAGGCCAGTGGGGCAGAGATAGGAAGGAGCGCTGGTTGGAATGCTAGGGATGGAGGCCATAGAAGGTTCTGGAAGCCAGCAGGGATATGGGAAAGGCAGGGAAGGCTGGCATCTCACCGGGGACTGAGGTCCGGAGGTCCAACGGTTCCCAGTGGGGGAATGAGAAGCTGGGGAGGCTTCCAGGCAGTAGTGCACCTGGCGGGGGCATGTGGGGAGGGGCTCTGGCCCTGGCCAGCCAGGGCAGGGGAAGTTGATGGGGACAGGGAAGGAGAGGAGACAAGGGCTGAGAAGGGGGGCAGCTCTTCACCCAAAAGGCTGACCAGAGAGCCCCGGGGCCGTGCTGGGCTGAGATTGGGCAGCAGGAGAGGCCGGCGGGGTCTGGGACCACCCCCAGGCTCCGTGCCACCCTCAGCTTCTGTGATAGATGG